ATCGGAGAGACAATCTGTGCTCCTTCTTACACGCGGCCACTTCGTCGAATCGGTCTTGCACTTGGCCGCGTTGGTCGACGCGTTTGCTGGGAGAGACAATGTCTCCCTCCGTTCTTACACTCGGACAATCCTTCGTCGAATCGTGGTTACAATCGGCCGCGTTGGTCGACGCGTTTGCTCGCAGAGACAATCTCTCGTCCTTCTTACACTCGGCTACTTCGTCGAATCCGTGTTACACGCGGTCGCGTTACTCGGACAATCCCGTTTACCCGGCCGCGTGTGCTCGGAGAGACAATCTCGCGTCCTTCTGACAGTCGGCTACTTCGTCGAACTGCGTCACTCGGACAGTCGTGTTTATGCGGCCACGTTTGCTCGGAGAGACAATCTCTCCTCCTTGTTGCCCGCGGCACAATGCTTACTAGGCTACGTCGTCGAATCCGTGTTACACTCAACCGCGTTTGCTCGGAGAGACAATGTGTACCTTCTTACACTCGGCTACAATGCGGTTTACGCGGCCACGTTTGCTCGGAGAGACAATCTCTCCTTATACTCGAATGCGTAGGCGCGTTCTATATTTGTTCTGCACTATACCGTTAGAATGCACTTGCTCAGCTTTTAATAATTAACTTCACATAAAGGAGAATTATACCCCTTCATAGTATTCATGTGAATCTGCATTTTATATGCATTTAACCGGTACCACCGTGTCCCCATGGTCATGTTAAAAGAAGTTCACTACACAGAAAAAGAACAAAACAAAGCACAAGTAAACAGAAGCAGAACAGAGCAGAAAAAAAAAAAAAGACGGTATGTAATAGTACAAACAACAAATATATTATGTATATCACATAATGAAGTAAAAGTGGTGTACGGTTAGCATGCGTTATGGCGCATGCATATGCCCCGTCATCCTAATGTCAACACTTTTGCAATAGGGCATCCACATATAACTCCTTGTCCTGCAAACTGCGTTCGACCTCGCAGTGTTCTATGACTAATGCCAGGAGCAGTATCCATATTTTAGCGGTTAACGGTTTTTTCATGTAAGGTTGCGGATGCAGTGGTTGCGAGCGTGGTACAGCTCGCACTCGTAGCATCTGTTGTGCTGCCATTACTTTTTCCACTTCTAAGTCGTTGTGCACTATAGGTGCTTGGCCGTGTTGCGGTACTGTCTCCTCCTCTACATTATGCAACAAATGCTTGAACCACTCTTCTTGACTGTATGTACTCATGTGCCGATGTTGTTGCGCTATCCACTGTTTCCACAGATCCAATTTCTGCATCGGCGGGGTTGCCGCTTCACCGAGTGCACTGTGCCCGTGCTCCACGTTTGCCGCCATGTGATCACGCACGTGTTGTTTCCAATCCGCTTTTAATTGCAAAAACCACGGCTGCGTCGTGCACTCGCGCAAAAAGTACTTGTTGCGGTCAATCCAGTTAATCCAGTGGGTGCAGTCGGACGTCGCGTGCTCGGGGTTGAAATGAGCATTCTGTTGTGCATCTAACTGTATGGATTCCATACAACTGCATGAAGCGCAGTCATTAGGTGGACAAGGGTCCGTTTGTAACGGTATGGTTTCCATACAACTCCATGGATCTGGGGGGTCTTCGGTCGGTGGACAAGGGTCCGTTGCTAACTGTATGTTTTCCATACAACTCCATGGATCGCAGTCATGAGGTGCACAAGGGTCCGTTGCTAACTGTGTAGTTTCCATACAACTCCAAGGATCGGGGTCAGGCGGTAGACATGGATCTTTTCCGTCGAAGTCAGTGGGTGGATCCACGGTGGAGGAAACATTGTTCCCTGATAAACCCTCGTTTGTGCTAGGAGCATCCGAGGTACTACTATACTCGTTTGCATGCGGCTCCAAGTCATGTGCAAACTCCTGCACGAGTATCTGCAAATAGTCCTCTTTGACGTTTTCCCAATCTGGCGCTTCACATTCGTTGAGCACTGCTAGATGTAGCTCGATGATGGTACGCTTATGCACGCGTGGTGAGCGTTGTGCACGTCGTGCGGCGGGCAATCTGCCGGGCCGCCTATCCATAACCATCGTGTACCCGTAATCGGGTGGTGGTGGCTCGCCTCGTTGTAGATGCTCCAATATCTCTTCGTCCAGAGGCGGTGACGGCACGTCACGAACGGTTCGATATGTTCGTCGGCGTTTGGCGAGGTGCGCAAAGTACTACAAATAAAAGGAACGAGGACGATGTAGAAGAGTGCATTTGTGTTAGAATGATCGTACAACAGACCCCGTTAGGAACACATTGTTCTATGGTACATATTACGGATACGAATATATGGTGTCGCGTATATACTTACCTTCCAAAGAGAATAACCAAGAATGGCCACGATGACGGAAGCGAGAAAAAACAGCACGGGAGTAGTGGCGATAAGGACGTCGGCGGTTAGGTCAGGAACTGCGTAGTCTCCTTTTTCGGCATCTTTGCTGTTAAGCGGTGGACGCGATTTATCTTCTGTTAAGGTTGGTGGTGCGAATCCTGCACCAGGATTACGACCTGTGAAGATTCCAGGGTCATCCAGGGAGAGACCCGAGAAATCTCCCTGGGAGCCACTATTCGTTTGGTTACCGTCTGCCGCACCAGTAGCAGAACTGGAACTTGAACTGGGTGATGAACTGGGGGAACTGCCACCACCTCCTGCACCTTGTGCACTACCAGCAGATGGTCCCCCGGCGGATCCACTGGACGTGGATGATCCTGATGATCCCTGTGCAGGCGCTGGTGGGGCCGGTGCTGCTGGTGCTGCTACTGCGGGTCTAGGAGAGTTCTCAGTAGCATCGTTACCTGATAATTTGGGTGGAAGGAAGAAACTGAAGTTTTGACGTGGATGCATGGTTATGGTTGGTTGGTCACGCGGTTGAAGGTTGTTGTGGTCCGTCGCTGGATGGGTGGCCGCCGTTTCGACGGCGTGGCAGGTGCCACGGGGACGGCGGCAGGCCGGAGACGGACAGGGACATGGCACGGGGCATGGTGCCACCCCGGGACCAGACGCTCTCTGTGTCCCACACACAACACAATACACACAGACACAGTGTGTGTGCGGTTGTCTACGTCTGTCGACGTCCGTCGACGTCTACATCCAGCGGCCGACCCGTTGCTCGGCCGATCGCTCTGCCGCTTGCATTCTCATTCGACGTTTGGTTTCTGTCTCGCCCTCTGTCCGTGTTGTCTCCGGAAAAGTTGTGTGTTTTTTTCTCGTTGTTTTTGTTGTCGACATTTACTCAGGAGACTACGTGGTCCCGAGTCTTCGGGTTTCTTCCCACAAGTACTGTCAATGTCAGATGTCGTTCCAAAAGACACAGAAGTACTTGATGTGGATCCGTGGACACCTGCGCCTGCGTTTTTGACTGTATAAGTCTCTGTCCCCTTGGAGCACTTACCTGTTTCTTTCGAATCCTTCGATGGTTCCCCTTCTCCTGCAGCAGGACGTGCCGGTTCTGGGGGTGGTGGTGATTTGGTACCTTTGTCCTCTGCACCGGTAGCTTTTGGTGGTGCCGCAGGTGGGGGTTGTGGTACGGGTCCTGCTGGTCCTGTTTCAGACCTAACAGTCCCCGTTACTTGTGTTGTGGGACCCGCAGCTCCTGCTTTATCCGATCCGTCCGCTGCCCTTGATGGCGTTTTTTCCGCTGGTGGGGCTGGTGCTTCGGTCCCTGTAATTGTAGCTTGATTTCCTGATTGTTTCCCCTTGTCTTTAATTTTGTCCTTATCACCCCCTGATGTTGAGGCCTTAGCGACCCCTTTTTTCTTATTGGCTTCCTCCGCTGCAGCAGTAAAGAAGGAAAAGAAGATGATAGAAAGGTGATAAAAAAAAAAAAGGACACAAGTGGTAGACAGAAAGAAGGGGCCGGGACGGTTGGGTCCGGTAGCGGCAGCAAGCGGACGGTGTTACAGAGAGCGCACGTTGTTAGGAGAGGACAAAGACAGGAAGAAAGGGGGGCGCACTCGGTGGACGGAGGTGATAGCAGTACAACTTTTATTTGTCGCCGTCATGTCGTCCGCCGACCCGTTCCGTCCGTCTCCGGTGCCTCGTCATGTGCCTTGTCACCGCTACAGTTGCCGTCGTGGCCGATACCGCTCATCGCCGCTGCACGGTACGCTCGTCTACACTGCATTGTGCGAACGGTACGCTCGTCTACACTGCATTGTGCGAACGGTACGCTCCTCACTGGTCGCTACTTATATGCGTTCGCTCCGCCACCGATCAACGTCAGCGAAGTCAGGCAGCGCACCGCTGTTGGCTGTGCCGCCGTGTGTGCGTGTTGTAGCCGTTGCGTGGTTGTTGTGGCGCCATGCGCGGTGGGCCGTGTGCGTAGTATTCGTAGCGGCCGCCTATTCCTGCTTTCTCCCATCGGTCTTACCTGGCGGTTCCCCTGGTGGTGTGTTCGCCGCCGTGGTGGCGGCGTGCCCATTTTTGCCATCGTTCGCTGCAATAAAGGAACAAATAGGAATTAGAAATGTACGTATTTAGTTTTTGTGTTCTTGGAAGGACACAGGAATGAACGTTGTTCACATGTCTCCATCTTGTTTCGCATTGCTCTTTCCCTTTTACTTCGAAACGGTCTGTAGTTGTCGTGTGTGTGCTCATCCCTCCTGCGTCGTTCTAATTTGTTTCCTTCTGCCCCAAGGTGCCCTGCCTTACCTAAGTTCGCCTTCTTCGCCTGCTCCCTTTTTTGTATGGTTTGCTCTGCCTGTTTTCCTATGTCCTTAAATATTTCCTTCATTGTGTCTTGCAGTCCGTGCACTATCTCAACAATCTGCGACCGTTCCTTATCCTCTGTATTGCCATTCCCCAGGATGTCGTCTAGTTTCCATGCGTCCTTCCAGGGCGTCGTGCACAGTGTATTTCCTTTTATTTTCTGTATTGCCTCTTTTAGTTTGCTATTTTGCCCTAACCATTTCTTGACTTCTGCATTTAACTTAAGTTCCCTTATTTGCAAATCCGAAGATATTTTTCTACCACATGTTCCCTGCTGTATTAAGCCTCGCCCCCATCCGCCGTGCTTCCCTAATTGTTCCATTATGTGCCATGCATAAAATGTTCCCCAGTCACTTTTGCACACTGATTCGTTTAATACTGCGCTAAACATATGTACTATTGCACATAGCAAGTGCTGTCGTATGCTTGCGTTGGTTGCATCCTGCTGTGGTCTAATTTGTTGTGCAGTAGTCCCCCAATTCATGAAATATAAGGCCCCTACCATAAGTACGCATACAAGTTTATCGCCCACCTTGTGTCCTACATAGGGCGTACCGGTAGGATCACTGGGGAGCTGCCATCCTGCGTGACCACAGTTCGATGCATACAGTATTATGTTCTCATCCTGCATGTGTTCCACAAATTCCTTCATTACATCCTTGGTTTTGTTCCACACCATTGCCTACAATGTAAGAGAAACACAGGAAATATATACATGCGCATGTGTGCTTGAATGCTATGTGCCCCGATGTGCTGCATGGTCTCTTTTACCAATAAAGCCCTAGCACGGAACTCCCCGTGTGGCTCTTGTATTCCTGTATGTGCCTACCTCATATGTATCCTGATCGGGAAACCCCGCGGCGATTAACCAATCCGCCAATGCATGCGCCAAATCTGCCGTTCCCATATTACTACTGTTCACTGAAATATACGGTACCCGTAGAAATACCTATACATCACTATTATTCGTATGGTTGTTATATTAAATGAAGTCGCTTTGGCTTGCGCTGGTAGTCGATAATGCTGCTTTTCTTCTTCACTGCTGCGCAACTAGCAAGCAAATGTTCGATGAAAATAGCAAAAATGAAGCACATAAAGGTAGAAGGCAGAATTGTCACAAGAAGACAATGTGCATAGGAATTGCAAATAGAGGGCACAGGGAAGAAAAGACAAATAAAAAAGACAGACAAAAATAGAAAAAATGCTACACTACACTACCTACACACAGAACGCGTCATGAATAACACCCCCTCCCCCCTTTCTACACCGGTGTCCACTACACGCCTTCACACACACTGTCTCTCTGTGTGCGTACACTAAACCCCTTGTACACTAAAACCGCAGTATAACAACAACATCAATTCGTCCTGCTTCGTGCTACCGTTGTTGCCGTCGTGGTTGCTCGCCCACATAATATGTGTGTTCCTTCCTGCGCCACACGTCTCGCTGTGGCCCCGCTCTCTGATACCTCTGTGGATCCGTACTGGGCTACGTCGTCGAATCGTGGTTACAATCGGCCGCGTTGGTCGACGCGTTTGCTCGCAGAGACAATCTCTCCCTCCTTCTTACACTCCGCTACTTCGTCGAATCGTTGTTACACGCGGTCGCGTGTGCTCGGAAACAATCAGTGTACGAGGAAGCGGTGACACCTAGCAGCACAATAGGAGGGATGCCAAAGAAGGAGGCGCATAATGCGCAAGAGCACAAGGAGAAACGAAAGAAAAAGCAAAGCAAGTGACAATAGTGCGTAGAATGTGCAAGCGGTAAAGTAACGAATAAGGCAAGAACAGTAGGTAGGAGTAGCGTTGATGTACGATGTCGCATGCAAAAACAAAAAAAGAAAAAAAAAAAGAAACCACTAAATCCTAAACCTCACAAATTATGAAACTGTGAACACGTTCACGCTTTAATCTGAATATTGAAAACGTAGATTGTTGAGGATTAAACTATAAAACCGTGAACTGTGAGACCATACATCCTATATCGTAGATGCTAGATGTTAAATTCTAGACTCTAAACCTGTGAGATCCTCCCCCTTTTTAAGCATATCAAAAGATAAGGTGTACAATCGTTTCATTTGGCGATGTGGAAGTTTATACGAAGAAGACAGGAAGCATAAATACAGAACAAAAAGGAAAAAGGAAAAAACAAAGATTCATATGGAATTACTCATAGGATGAACACCTAGTACATAATTACAGCATACTCAAGAACAATAAAATAAATAATAATTAATAATTGAAAAATTCATAACATTTAACAACGCAAATAAAGGCAACTTCCATTATTGTGAGAAACACATTCTTCCATATTGTCGCCGCGGGGGTCTGTTGCATGTTGAGGTGCTTTTGAAAAATAAACATTTGGTGGAACATTGCTACTCTGCACAAATCCGCATGGACAAAGGGGCAGTAGTCATCAGGGCAGCATCATGTGAAATTAAATAAGGATGGTGCGAAAATAGACAATGGACATGGCTGTAATGGATCAGAGAAGATGGAACACAAAATTAAAAACACCGGCGCTTTAGCATAATAATTATTAATCACTTACACACAAATAAAAGAATTAACAGCATAAAGAAAATGCACATTTAGTCCCGTGGTGCCCCCGGAAGA